CCAGCATCACCTTAAAAATGTAAAGAAAGACGCCGAGTATATTTTTTGCAGTTGGTTTTATACAAAATTGTTTCATGAATTAAAAAATTAAAAAACTAAAAATCGAATACTAACCCCACGACAAAGAAGTGAAATCAAAATGATTCCAAGTACGCGTCAAAACAATCAAAATCGATTACGACAACTTGTTTGTAAGTCCCAGTCTACAATAGAGATTTAAGCCCTAAGCCTTAAGAAATTGACTAATCACAGTCGCGCATTCTACTCATACTTGACCGTGATTGGCCAATTTCTTAAAGCTTAGGGCTTAAATCATCTATTGTAGACTGGGACTAAAACTATAAGGCTGGGTCTACATTGGATGTCGTAAGTCGTGTCGGAAGAAATTGACCAATCACAGTTCATTATTTTTCGATCGTAAGGAGAATAATAGACTGTGATTGGTCAATTTCTTCCGACACGACTTACTACATCCTATGTAGACCAAGCCTAAAGCCTCCGCTACAATGATTCTCGGTTCTGTCTACAATGGTCGTAGTCGTAAGAATAATCGACTGCGATTGGTCAATTCAGTCAGACGCATAAGAATTGACCAATCGCAGTCGATTATTTTTACGACTACGACCATTGTAGACAGAACCGAGAATCATTGGGTGCTTTCCAATTGCAATATCCCTAGACACTTTCGTGCACACGGCGACACAAATGGCGTTCCAATTGTCACAAATGTCGACACACCTCTACACATTCGTACTCAGCCTGAGGGCTACTAGTCGGCTGTGTAAACTTGTGTTTTCTAGTGACAAATAATAGTTACTAAGTACGGCGGCTACAAGTGGTCGGCATATTCCTTCGCTACGACGGTTTACTATGAAAAAAAGAAGTGAGGTTACGTCTGATATCATTGAGGTAATAAATATTTTGAATCAACATTAGGTGACGCAGTTTCGATCACCACCATGGATTAAAAATACCAAGCATGGATAGTATACTACTTTGTGTACTATTTGTGGTATATTTTGTTCCAATTGAGTCGTGCACATCGCGACACTTTGTGTCTTCTTGTGTACGTTTGTGTTAAAAAGTGTAAAATAATTGGAAAGCACCCATTGTAGCGGAGGCTTTAACAGCTAAATTTTCTCACACTCTTACGAAAGAGAAACGTATTCGAAAATTCTGCTCTTGCAGAAAAGTCGCAAACTGATTGGCTGCTCGCATATCTTTTAGCCAATCGACTCGCTACTTTTCTGTAAGAGCCGAATTTTCGCATACGCATCTCTCTTTCGAATGAATCCGAGAATCTCGTGTCCCCGAAATTGAAATATGAGGTCTATGCGCACCGCGCAGGTCCCAGGCCGCCTCTGCAGATGTCTCTTGCTCTGCCGACGTGCGTCGGATATCGGCATCGTACTTCAACCCAATTTCGGGGGGGTCGGCCATCTGCTTTAGCCACAGCCAGAGCCACGTCATATTTGTGTGCCGCTGTCGAGCGAGCTGTGTGAGCTGGCTCTTTAACTCCCCCCGCGGGTTTTTTTACGTAAAATCACACCCCCGCGACCGCAGACATGAATATATTCCGATTGCTGGGCGATCTGTCGCACCTTTTAGCCATTATTATACTACTTCTCAAGATATGGAAGACGCGGAGCTGCGCCGGTGAGTGAACCGCCTTGATCGTCTCGCTCAGGGACGCGCGTGTTCACGGCGAGTTCGGTGTGTTACGATCGAGCGCCCGTGACGTTACGCCCCACTGTCTGCGGCTACCGATGCTTCTACTGTTTACAGGTATCAGCGGTAAATCGCAGATCCTCTTCGCGATTGTGTACACCACCCGTTACCTAGACCTGTTCACCACATTCATCTCTGCGTATAACACGTTCATGAAAGTCGTATTCATCGCCGCGTCCCTCGCCACGGTCTTCTTGATGTACGTCAAGTTCAAAGCCACGTACGATCACAATCACGACACGTTCAGGTAAGGCCCAAGGATAATCCGAGTTGTCGAGAAAAGGGGAGACGCGCACCCCAGGGCGCCTCCACCCGCGGGATGCAATGACAGGATGGGCTTTCTGTTGCAGGATCGAGTTCCTGATCCTGCCCGCGTTCGTACTGGCGCTATTGATCAATCACGAACTGTCCTTTGTCGAGGTCTTGTGGACGTTCAGCATTTATCTCGAGTCGGTGGCGATATTGCCGCAGTTGTTCCTGGTGTCGAAAACAGGCGAGGCCGAGAGCATCACCAGCCACTATCTCTTCGCGTTGGGATCGTACAGGGGCCTGTACCTGTTCAACTGGGTCTACCGCTACTACGCCGAGGATCATTACGACCTGATCGCCATTGTCGCCGGGCTGGTGCAGACGGTTCTCTATTGTGACTTTTTCTACCTCTACATTACCAAAGTACTCAAAGGCAAGAAGCTACAACTGCCCGCTTAGCTTCAATCGTGGGTATTGTCCTCTTGTATCAGAGAAACATTCAACTGCCCCCCCGTGGCGTCGCCAATTTGAGATAAATTCGGGCAGTCCTGGGAGGCTCGTGGTATACGCACGCGGCAGCGCGCGTTGCTACTATGTATGAAATGTCTGGCAGTGTCCCCCTCTCCAAACACTTCCTTCCTTCCGCCGTCCCTCGTACGATGCCATGCGCTGCGTCTCCTTTCCAGGGCGAGAAAGTCTACGTTGCCTTTATTTCTTTCTTTTCGCGTCACTTCATCTCGAGCAATGTATATTGTCACAGGATCAAGGTAGCTGTTTATTATCTTCAAATTCAGTGAGCCAGCAAATTAGGGATAAAAAGAAAAAAAAAAGAAACGTAGAGCCAGAATTTTCATTTACATTTATACAGTTTATATCGTTGTAACTATCAGTAATAAATATAGTTAATAATTGAATACATCAATTACACGATAGCAATATCTCACAGTGAACGATTGACGGGGAGGGCTCGGCGACTCGCCGCTCTAGCAATTCAGGAGGAGCGCAAACCGATGTACTTTACCAGCTCGGTAATGTGTACCGCCTCGCTGAGGGTCGTCGAGCGACTCCTTACGTGTACAACGCCATTCTTGAGACTAGTCTTATCCACCGACACGACGTACGGTATCAGGCATACGTCTAAGATTTCTTCTGTACTCGTCAATATGGTAGAGATCCCTCTCGTCCTAAGCGCGTTGCTTAAGTATAGCACAAAGCGATTTAAGTCTTCTACATCCGAGTCCGTCTCGTCCCCCTGTCTCGCTGTGCGGAACGTCACCTTGTACGGGGATAACTTGGGATGAATGTACGCTCTATTTGACTTGTCCGACATGTGGCTGTCGCAGAGCAACGCCAAGCAGCCCCAGTCCAGGGAAGCGACATGCTCGACCATATGCACGTCCGCAGCATTATCTTTATTACTTTCGGCCTGTAAATAAATACTTCATTTAAATAACTCTCTCTCTCTCGCTTTCTCTATCTCTTTCTACTTAACGCGCTACCAACGGCTTATCGAGATATCGTCCCACCTGGGGATACAACTTGCGCACGCCGGGATAATAAGCGATCGTTTCCACGACGATGTTTCCAAAGGGGAACTGCGCCTCGATCTCCGTCACGTCGAGACTCCGCGTCTTCCTCGCCTCGGCGAGCACGAATCGCGAGGGGTGCTGGGCGAGCTTGCGCCACCACGCCTTGCGCTCACGCTGCTTCCTGTGCAGCAGACCGGTCGAGTCCGCGGGGTCGACGAACGCGTTGATCCTCGCGGTTCGGTGGGACGGCACCTTCCCGCCTGCCGGCAGCAGCGACTCGTTCCACGCGCTCTTGGACGTCGCGAACGTGGCGAGCGCGAACGGCAGCATCTCGTCCAGCGAGTTGGCCCGCAGCAGCTGCAACGCGTCCGCGATCGCGTCGCACGGGAACACGTTGTAGTGCGGCATCGTGACGCAGTGCGCGAACCAGTGCTCCTCGAGATTCCGCGACAGCAACTTGCCCTGGGGTCCGTAGACGAACGCGCGCTCGGCCAGGCTGAGGAAAAGCGGACCGACCGTCCTCAGCGCAGCCTCCAGACTCATCATTTGGACTCTCCTTCTGCCTGCCTGCCTGCCGTTAGCGGCGCGACGAAGTACTCTTCCTCCAGTACCGCCGCGTTCCGCAGTATCTCGCGCCGATCGACGTCGCGTCGCGCCACGTCGTCCCGCAAGTGGACGCAATCGTTCTCCAGGGTACTGCACATCGGACGCACCGCCTCGTCGATGGGAACCGCCCGCAGCCGCTCGGCAAACGTCACCGCCTCCTCCAGCACGCGCTTGCTCTGCTCGTACTCGAAGCCGACTAGCGCCAGCTTCTCGAGCCGTCTGATCGTCACCTCGTCGATGGCCGGTCTCTTGTTGCCGTTACCGCTTTTTACTTCGTTATTGTCGCGCTCTGGTTGTTGTTCTTGTTGCCGTTGGTGTTGATGTCTCGTGAACACTGTTGAAGAGTAAAACGTTCAGAAAGACGGAACGGAGTTAACTGGATGCGGAAAAACGACGATACCTCTGTCGAAGAATCTGTTCGCCGGTCGAGCTCGTCGCAGCAAAGCCATGCTCGACGGCGACACGCCGATGATCCGATTTGTCAATCGGATCCGAGTCTCTTGGGATTTCGGAGCCTCGGCGTCGAGAATACGTGTCCGGAAATCTATTATTATACTTTGTAATATATTTTCTCTTTCGTTGCTTCTAGATACAACCCTTTCTTCTTCGTACTTGCAACCACTCTTTTTTCTTTTAAAGTGCAGGTGCACAAGGTACACATAGAGTCTGTTCTTTATGGTTGAGTGCAGCCAGTTCAGCTATTAAAGAACAGACCGCATGTTCGCACATGTTTGAATTTTCTTCGGAGCATTTAACCTAAAAGCGTCACCTGTAATGATTTTCTTTCTTAGAGCCAAGCGATTAATTTAATTTTTAAAAATCTTGGCTCCTGATACAGAAGAGAGTTGAATGACTATATTTTCATTAAAATTCGTCGCTGAACTAGGTTACTTTTTCACCTTGTTCCAAAAATGGGGCGGAAAGGTCATAATTGGAAATCAAGAGCTGTTGCAAACGTGGAAGTTGACAATTCCACCACTAAAGAGGTAAATTTACTTTGAATTACATCTTATGCTCTTGCGAGAAAGATAAATTATTGCCTGAGTAACAGCTGTAATTTGTATATACTGCTTATAATATTTTATTACTCGAAACACTTTGTCAACTGCATTTGCTGCCTCGAATATGATACATTACTTATTCAACACTTTCGCCAGATTGTATTGGATATTAAGCATCGCCCCGAAGACTATGACAGTTGCAACACGCTTGTCTTGCCCACTCAAAAGAGAAAAACGAAGAACGTAGATAAGACGTTGACAACTACTCGATTGTTATCAAAGAAACGCAGAAAGCAACTGGAAAAAGTGGTAGAGCGAAAGAAGAAAAAGTTGCAGGTACCATAATTTAATTCTACACAGACAACATGGGGCATCCACCTCAATTCTCCAAATATAATTATCTTGTAGAGAACGGCATTGCTAGAAGATCTGGCAAAGGTGCAAGTATCTCCTGCCGAACTGCAGCAGTACGTGAGCCTGACGTCCTTGCAAAACAAGGGCTTGAAGCGTCACTTCCGAGAGCTTGAGGCTTCCGTTGGAACATTAAAGCGCAAAGCGGACGATGAAGAGGAAGGCGACTCGGCAAAGACTGTAAATTCTATTAAAATGAGCAGGAAAAAAAGATTGGCCATTCTGGACAGTGTAAAACAGGACCAAGCCGAGCTTGATCCAAATGTAGTTGGGTTTGAAGTAAGTTTGAAGCAGCAATGACGGAAATTGTAGAGCTGTGGTACAAGTAATTGCATAATATTTATTTGCAGTCCAGTGAGAGTAGCAGCGAAGATGACAGTGACAACGAAGAGGAAGATAAAGCGCGCGTTCTTGACGATACTGTTGCTTCTAATACTGCGGCGAGTGAAAGTGCCGGGATACACGAAGAGAAAGGCGAGAATGTAACACGAGATGCCGGGGAGAAAACAGCTTTAGCCGAATCTCAGGAATCTAAAATCGCGGACGAAGCACCGCGACGAGACGCGCCCAAAGTTCACACGCCCGTTGTCTTTATACCCGTCAACAGAAAGCCCGAGCTGCAAGCGGCCAGATTAAAACTGCCCATTGTCGCGGAAGAGCAAATTGTAGTTGAAACGATAAATGAAAACCCAATAGTCATAATTACCGGAGAAACAGGAAGCGGTGAGAAAAATTACTATTAACAGACACTTTAACAGAGTCCTTGCTAATTTCATGGATAACAACTGTGATATCGGGCCAAACGCAATTTTTTTGTGTGAATTGTCGTGTTTGATTATTCAATCTTGTCACAGGGAAGACGACACAGGTGCCTCAATTTTTATACGAGGCTGGATACGCACAGGATAAATTAATCGGGATAACCGAGCCGAGAAGAGTAGCAGCGATGTCAATGAGCAAGCGCGTAGCTGAAGAACTGAATCTTTCCGAGAAGGAAGTTTCGTATCTGATTCGTTTCGAGGGAAATGTCACGGAGGAAACGAAGATCAAGTTTATGACCGACGGTGTTTTGTTGAAAGAAATTCAAAGTGTGAGTGGTATATCAGAGCGTAAATGTGTGCGTCTGCGTGTCGCGCAAACAATATCCAATAATATTTAATTATATGTATAGAGGAAAGTCTTCTATTATGGGATAGGATTCTAAGATGAGATAGTAGGCTTTCAACACCCAAATTCAATCACAAATCATTTTTCGTAACAATCACACAATCCAACAATGAATTTTCCACTAAACAGATTTCGCTCCAAAGACAATAAATTCATAGTGGAATCAACCGATACCTATTAATCGAATAGAAACCCCGCTGTCTCATATTAGAATCCTATTTCATAATAGGAGACTTTCCTCTATATCTCTAAAATGATATCAAAAACGAAATAATAAGCATAGCAAGAAAGTTTCGTTTTTGATATTTTTGAGTTCAATTTATTTGTTTTTTATTTTATACGCTTGCTGAAATTATCTTCCTTCAATTATGTTTCATCTTTCTTTGGATCTTATCCAGAGAGAGACTTTATGAAAGTAGACTAATCTTAGGGACCTCAGTCTATGTGTGCCATCCGTTCGACACAATTTGCATCCTACAATTTGATAGCTACATTTCTATTTTAAATGGTGTCTTTGCGGAACTACTGTACGTTTTATATTCTCGAACTATTTTGACTTGTGCCACCTGTTGTTATTTGCTTGGTCAAAATGTCGGATCTATCCCCTGCTTTTGGACCAAGGAATCTGCAAGCACTCGCCAGTTGGTCTAACTGAAGTAGCAGGTCTATCATGTTAAGTTGATTGTATTGAGGCTGACGCAAACAAGTGTCAGAAACGTCTACGATTGAATAGAAATGATGACGAAACTCGTGCAAAATTAATTACGTTTTCACTCTCGCTGCCCTTATGGTATTTCGTTTTTGTTATTTTCGAGAGTCTAATTTATTGAAGATTAGTTTCTTCAAATTGCCAGTATAATACTAAAATTCCAAATTTTATTCAACCAAAGCTGGCCACATTTGTTAATTTATCTGTCAGTGCAGAAAATTTATTGCGAAAAATATTACCTCAGCCAGGGTTTGAACCTGGACCTCCCTTACACTCTAGGCGGGCGTCTCACCAATTCGACCACCGAGGCATATGATAATATTTGTCGCAATAACAGTATAAAGATGTTGTCTACGCGTCTATTTTTCGACTTGGTTAATTTCTAATTTATTGATTTTTAAATAATCTCTTTTTCACTTACAGGACTTCTTGTTGACAAAATACTCTGTGATTATACTCGATGAGGCGCACGAACGTAGCGTGTATACCGATATCTTGATCGGTTTATTGTCGAGAATTGTTCCGCTCCGTAACAAACGTGGCAGCCCTTTGAAGTTGATAATTATGTCGGCTACATTGTCCGTGAAGGAGTTCGTAGAGAATGCAAGGCTGTTTAAGGCAAAGCCACCGGTGATTGAAGTCAAAGCGCGACAGTTTGCTGTAAAGATACATTTTAATAGAACAACAAGCAGGGATTACGTCAATGAAGCGTTGCGAAAAGCGGTAAAGATACACACTCGTCTTCCAGAAGGTGGCATTCTAATATTTTTAACAGGTGAATTATAGGAAACTTCTCCATTTTTATATACCATTATTACAATACAATCTTTATATTCTCAACGATTTACTTGCAGGTCAGCGAGAGGTACATACCGTTGTGCGTAAATTACGCAAATTATTTCCACTGAAGAGAAACAAGCAGCCCCAGGTTAAAGTGATGAAGGATGAAGAACAGAGCGAAAGAGACGATTCCGACGATGATTTCGATGCCAAGGAGGCATTGCGCCGCAATAGACAGAGGCAGAAGAAGCAGATTATACTCCCGACTATTAATCTCGACGAGTATGTACACCGTACTGTCGTTATTTTAATCTTGTGCGCTTTTCTGAAATTTATAAATATTTATGTTTAGTTACTCGATAAATCCCACTGACGACACGCACGAAGATTTAATCAATGCGCAGGACGACGAAGAAGACCTGGACGAGGACGAAGATGAGGACGAAGATGTTTTTGATTTCAAGGGACTGACGAACGCACAGCCGTTGTGGGTCTTGCCCCTTTACTCCCTTTTACCCGGGCACAAGCAAACCAGGGTAAATATTCAGTGAACACGACCGAAATTATCACGATCCTTTTGGATCAATGACTCCGCGGTAGAACAAATTGACCGTAGACTCTGTTTTGCGATGAAGTAAGGAATTTTATTTTTCACGCGATCGCAGGTGTTTGAGCCACCGCCAGAGGGATGCCGCTTGTGCGTGGTGTCCACTAATGTTGCGGAGACCTCGCTGACGATTCCCAACATCAGATACGTTGTAGATAGCGGACGTTGTAAAACTAGGCTGTACGACAAAGTGACAGGCGTGAGCACGTATCACGTGAGTTATGCGAGCAAAGCAGCGGCCACCCAACGTGCCGGCAGAGCCGGTAGAACCCGGCCTGGCCATTGCTACAGGTATCTCGAAACTTATCCGACAATTCACCCGCATAAAGATTTCTAATCAAAGTGAATGAACCTAAAATTTTATCAATTTTGCAAATAAAATTCATAAGGCTCTGACGTGAAATCACAAATACCAAGTAATAAAGGATGTAAGAGCCAAGACACGATGTTAGTGTCTAAATGATTTTAATGTTTCAATTTATTGTGACAAATTTACCTCAGCCTGGGTTTGAACCTGGACCTCCCTCTCATCAGGCGTCTCAATCGCTAGAAGATTAATCAATTTTTTGCCAGGAAATTTTCAAAGTTTTGACTCGAGAAACTTTATATTTAAAATCTAATTAATTGTGCACTTGATCTCCTGCTTACATACATACATTTCTTTTCGCGTAGACTGTACTCGTCGGCTGTGTACGACAACGATTTCGAGGAATACAGCCAGTCGGAGATTAAAAAGAAACCAGTGGACGACTTGTTGTTGCAAATGAAGGCAATGAATATAGACAAGGTCGTGAACTTTCCGTTTCCCACGCCACCTGATACCTCGCAGCTCAAGTCCGCAGAGAAACGGCTCACGATACTCGGGGCGTTACAGCCGCCTTCGAAGAAACAAGAAGGTAATCGAACATGGGCGTTCATTGTCATTTATGTTGTTTCCATTTCATTGGAAAAGCATACAATTAATCTTTTACATTTAAAACATTTACCACGTTGTCTAAAGTGTAGAATTGACGTTTTATTATTTAGAAATCTACTGCACGAAAGTGACGCCGCTTGGACGTAGCATCGCCGCGTTTCCGGTTTCTCCTCGTTACGGCAAAATGCTAGCACTGTCGCATCAGCACAACTTGTCGAGATATACGATATGCATGGTAGCGGCTCTCAGTGTGCAAGAAGTGCTGATAGAAGCACTTGACAAGGAGAGTTCGGCTAAGAGCAAATGGCTGCAAACGCGCCGTTACTGGGCCGGAGCTGGCAATAATTTACTTCTTGGTACGCGATCTTCAAGTCCAATTTTCCCCTCGTACAACGAATACAAACGATAATGTTTCCGTTTGTGCACAGGTGACCCAATGGTTCTGATAAGAGCCATCGGAACTGCCGAGTACGCAGGGTCGAAAGGAAAACTCTTGTCCTTCTGCGAGGAGAACGGTTTGAGGCACAAAGCTGTGGTCGAGATCAGGAAACTCAGGCAGCAGCTCACCAATGAGATTAATTTAAATGTGCCAAATCTAAATTTAATCATTGATCCCAAGTACGTTCTCTTTCACTAGAACTGTCTGCCGATTAAAGTATTGTATTAGATTCCGTGGGTCAATTCTTACACCGTAGTAAAAACGCTAAAAGTAAGTAGCTCTGTCTCTTTCTAACTGTTCCATCAGAAAGAGAAAAGGCCGCTCGCTTTTAGCATTTTCACTATGTTGCAAGATACAGAATTGATCCTCAGAATACGAGAATTCAACAGTATGTACGTTGCAATATGTTTGAGATGGTTGTCTACAACAAGAGCTTTTACAGAATGCCGTTGCCAACCGACGTGGAAGCGAAGTTGCTGCGCCAAATAGTCCTTGCGGGCATGGCGGATCAAGTGGCGAAAAAGGTTTCGCCCGACGAGGTAAAAGAAGATCAGGACAAGGCCAAGTGGAGGCACGCTTACAGGTATACTTATTAGTTAGCGTCGGTAATTGAGACACAATTGAGAATGCGACTTCCATTCCGAGTTGTCTTTCAGAACGCCAGAAATGGAGGAGCCTGTATTCATGCACTCCTCGTGCGTTCTACGGAAAACCAGTCCGCAATGGGTAGTTTATCAGGAGGTGTACGAGACGAATAAGATGTACATGCGAGGTGTCACGGCGATAGAACCCGAATGGTTGCCGAAATTCGCGCCCTCGCTGTGCCACCTCAGTGAGCCGTTGGTTGATCCACCGCCAAGGTATTTGTATCGCAACTGTTGCTTCGCAATATGTTTTGCTACTTGTAAAGATATTAGTTTCGTATCATTGAATATTACTGTTCTTATATTAACAGATACAATCAAGGAACTGGGAAAATCACTTGTCACGTGTCCGGTACGTTTGGAAATGCCGGATGGACATTGCCGTCGATGGAGATGGAGCATCCGTTGACGGTGGACGGTATCAAGTGGTTCGCATATTTTTTCTTGGAGGGTCAAGTGTGTCCTAAGCTGAAACGATTTGTCCCGTTGCTGCTGACGACACCGGGCAGCATCACCAAGTCGTGGGCCAAGTAAATCGTGCCGCTCTATTTTCTTTTGATCTCACGTTGATTCGTCGAGTGGATAATCAATTCTGTGTGATTTCTTCAGGCTGATACCACGCACTCAAACAATAGTGCAAACGCTACAATCGCAGGGAGTTATGTCCAAAGACAAGCTGGTCGAAATCTGGGGTTTGGACAAAAAATGTGAGATTATCTTGATTTATATTAGAACATTTAGATATTTTATATTATAAAAATATTATAAATATTGTACATTAAATATGTACTTCTATAGTATTTATTATGTGGAGGAAAGTCTTCTATTATATGGGATAGGATTCTAACATGGGATAGTAAGTTTTCAACGTCCAAATTCAATCGCAAACCAATAAATGATATGCCAATTAATTTAGCAGAAACTCCGCTGTCTCATATTAGGAGCCTATCTCATAATAGGGGGCTTTCCTCTATTATATAAATATATAGTCAATTTTACACAGTATTTCGCGATTAACGCTGCTTTAATTTCAGTTCTGCTGCCGGCTTATCAGAAGTGGTTGCCGGAATCCGCGCACGCAGATGTGGCGCGGTTATGGCCGCCTCTATAATGAAGAGCGTAACGTTAGGAGCAATTGTAATTATGCAGTTTTTGAATAATTAAATTATTTTATATGAAAAAAAATCGGAAAAATATAAATATTCATAAATATTACTATGTATTCGTTTGTAATGTTATATGAACGTTTTATACATATTTTGTATAAAACTAGTAAGAATATTCTTAAAGTCGCCAGAAGTAATTGAGTTTTGTATAAAACGTTTTTTTTTTCAAAAATATTTAAACAGGCTAAATATTACATGTAATATTTGCGGTGAATGCGAAAAAAAGAGGCATTTTGTAAATGGTCGTAGAATGGATTTTCGGGAGCGCAATCTGTTTCTCATAGAGTGCAAATTAGCACTCGGCTGACACGGGCGTCATTGATGCCCACCCGTCTGAAGTTGCACGCGGATCGAGGGCACTTTTGAAAACGGCGCGCGACTCGTCTGACTCTTCGTGCGTCATGACTACGCGTACGAGCGGAACGGGCGATGCTGATTCGCCCTTTCCACCGTCAACGATGCACGGAGAGCGAAGCCGCGTCTACATAGAAGTCGTAAAGTCGTAGTCGTAACAATAGTCGACTATGATTGGTCAATTCTTGTGCGTCTGACGAAATTGACCAATCGCAGTCGATTATCCTACGACTCTGCGACTCGCATTGTAGACCACGCATTAGAAAGTCGCACGCTTTTCAAACGTGCCCCGATCCGCGCGCAACTTCGGACGGCCAGGCATCAATGACGGCCCGTGTGTGTACTCGCGAGTCGCGCAACTCGCAGCTCTCTCCCCGTACGATCCGGAAGACGTTCCCCGTCTGTCTCTTTTTTTTTTCCTTCCTCCGCCTCTCCTTCCCTCGCGCTCTCTTCCTTCCGCCACCTCCCTCTCGCTCTACCCCCCGCGGGAGACAACGATTAGGCGCATACCGAATAACATCGATCCCGATTTCTAGAACGGGGTCACCACGCAGGGGGCAACGATATCACGGCGCGGCGTGGGGCGTCCGCGAGGTGGAATTCGCGCGCGAAGCGAATTCGTTTGTCCGTCCGTCCGCTCCTTCATTCGTACGTCGACGATCGCGTCTCGCTCGTAGACGCCGCGCGCGCGTTGTGTGTTGTGTTTACAGAGCGTCGCGAGCGCGAGGGGAGACTCGAGGCTCTCTCTCACCTTGAATCGCGTCCCCCATCGCTGGTAAAGTCTACTCTCGCTTCGACGACGAGCCCGCGTCGTGGACGCGTCCACGCTTCGCCGCCTGTTCCCCCCTCCCCCCCGTCTCGCTCCTTACCCCCCTTCTGTCACTGCGTGCGTGCGTGCGTACTGCGTGTGTGCGTGTGTTGACTCTCTCTCCGTCTGTCGCCCGCTCGTTTCTCGCGCGCTCGGGAATGACAGGCCACACCGCTCGTCCCCGCTGGCGGCGGTGCGTCAGCGTCGTTTCCGTCAACGTCCGTCGCGCCGACGACGCGGAGTGAACTCGTCGCTGGTCCGCGCCGCGAGGCCCGCCTATACCGGAGTCCGTGGAGTCGGGCGGCAGAGCCCCCGGGAAAGCGAGGAAGATGGATGCGACGATAGAGCGGGAGTGCAGCGCGTTGGGCGGTTTGTTCCAGCAGATCGTCACGGACATGAAGGTGAGGAACGTCCCGTTTCCACTTGGGCTCGGCCGACCGCGCGCACCTCGCCGACGTTCGGGACGGCGCTCTCACCCCGCCTCCTCTTCCCTCCTGGCTCAGAGATTTTTTACGACGCATCGGTTCAAGGATCCTACGCCGTCATTTCGGACCCCCGTCCTTTCTCCTTCGGAAATCCCGAATGTATTGTATTGTTGTTTTTACGGACGTCTCCGTGTGACGAAACCGTCCGTACTCTTTTATTTTTTTTTTTTTGAAGATTTCCGCGCTGTTCGGAATGCTCTTGCCTTGGCACTTGTCTTGGCTCTTGGCCCCGCAGGTTTTTATTTTGGAGGAAATATTTTGGGTGTCGTTGTGTTTTTGTTGTCTTACGCTGCAAATGCAATTTGTAGGATGCGTGAAATACGTCGGGTCGAAATTGGAGTGACTGCCGTTTGGGAAAAGCGTTCCCTTCGAGTGGAGAGGAGAAAAGACGAGCAACAAGCCCAGCCTGGTTCACAATGTGCTCTTCGCGTCTGGAAACATTCGATTTCGTAGTCGACAAATACGTTTAAAGAAGATTTGCGCGGGTCGGTCAATTGTACATTGTACGATCGTACGTTTTCGACAAAGTTTTCAAGTGTTTTCACTTGCTGACACATGATAGAATGTTTCTAGACGCAGAAGGGCACATTGTAGATTAGCAAATTAATAAAACTCGCATGGCTCAAATGTGACGAACACAAATTTCGAGGAATAAAGGACCAAGAGCCGCGACAGGGTGTCGGTGTCTAAATATTTTATTCTAAATTTATTGCGAAAAGTATCACCTCGGCCAGGGTTGCAGATTAGGCTTCCATGTTTCGTACGACTCTCTTGTTTTGCCGTTCAAAGCACGTCTACTAGCCCCACCGTTTGTGTCTCGTACTTGCCTTCTGTGATTTCTCGCGACAGCGAGTGCTTTAGTTTTAACAACATCGGTGACTTTTATTGACCGTATCCGGCAATTTTAATAATACAGAAAATTTATTGCGAAACACATTACCTCAGCCAGGGTTTGAACCTGGACCTGCCTTCTCTCTAGGCGGGCGTCTCAACCAATTCGACCACCGAGGCATATTTTTAAGCATAGGCACAACTGTTGGCATTCTGTTGTTTAAAATGCTATTAAAATGTCAGTTGTAACCAGAAGTGTATTTATATTACGGATACAACGAATGGCGAATTTTAATCGGATAAAGTTAAAACAGGAAAAAAATTAGCGTTAAGTTATGTATGTTTGCGGATTACTTGAAAAAGTGTCCAAATCCGGGATCGGAACGTCGTTTGTTTTTTAAATAAAAACATTGGCCAGTGTAGGTCGCTTTTGAAAAGCTACATGTCATTGGTTTTATATTACTGGCGATATTAAATCTATTTGTGAGCTAAAACGGGAAGGTAGTCCAATAATTTTTAAGTTCGAAGCGAATTTTAATGTATTGATTTCGATTGTGTTTATGTTATTGAATTACTAGACGATTACTAGACGCAGAGCCCGAGCTCACTTCGTAAGATCGAATCTCAGGAGCCCTTGGCTTTCTATGCGCCCTAATTAAAATATTTGTTTTGGGAGGAAACTGAAGTAAAAGCATTTACTCCACTTTATTTACGTGATTTAGTGTCTCCTATGAGTCATATACATTGCGTTATTACATAGTTTCTCCGCATGTGTGCGTTTTTAGTAAATGTATGGTAAAACACCAAACTCGTAAAATTCTTCAAAATGCCACGCCGTCCCTCAATCACGTAATTTTCAGGGTCAATTTTAAGAAGAAAAAACTCTGCCACACGCACACATTACTATACATTTTGCTAGTAAAATGTATGGTGAAATTTAAAAAAACTATTAAAATTCTTCGAAACACCACGTTGTCCCAGAACTACATAATTTTCTGCAAAAAATCTCCCCGTGTATATGTACATATTCATATGATTGAACGAAAATATGTGGGCGTGTGCGATTGCATTATCTCTTACTAGGACATCATTCTAGATTGCTGTTCGACTTAATCTATAAAAACGAATGTTAGAACTGTGACAATGTCAGTAAATAAAATTGAAACCTTCTACGCACCTTATAACACTCCATTTCTTTTTGTAGAACGGGACGCCACTCTGGGAGGATTTTATCTCGAAAGCTACCAAGTTACACGCGAGCTTGAGGTGAAAAGATTTGTATATAATTTCAAATACGTTATATTATACTTTGTAATAATTACGGTGCGTTCAAATTAAAACTCGTTCACGGTGCATTGTATATTTATCACATATTTATGCTGCCTTCAATGTATAAAAAAATTGCACATACTTGTTTTACGTTGCACATCTCTGATCGAATATGGGTAGAAATTTCACTCGATTAAGAATAGAGGAAAGTTCCCTATTATGAGATACGCTCCTAATATGAGATAGCAGGGTTTCCACTGAATTAACAGACATCATTTATTGGTTTCATCATGAAATTTGTTTAGTGGTAAATTCATTGCTGTTAGATCGTGCAATCGTTGCGAAAGGAGATCCGCAATTGAATTTGAATGTTGAACGCCTGCTGTCTCGTATTAGAAGCCTATCTCACGCGATAAGGGACTTCCCCCTCTACTCTTAGAAATGTTTTTCTTTAATATGGAACATATTATTGCAGAGCTGCTATCTTGGCTATTTCCGCATATCTTGAGGCTTTTCAGAAAATAGCAGACGCTGCGACTAATGCCAGAGGTGAGTCTCAATTGATTGATTAATGATGACCGACGCCTTTGTTGCCCGTGTAATTTGGATTGTTAAACTTTCGCGTCGATTACATTGAAATGAGCGAAAGGGAATAAAACAAATGCCTCGCTGTTAAGGTGCAACTAAGGAAATCGGGACAGCACTGACACGAATATGCTTGAGACACAAAGCGGTAGAAACTCGTATGAAGTCGTTTACTAGGTATGTCAAAATGTCCTGTCCAGCTGAATTGAAAAATCTTTTTAAAATTTCCATTCGGTAATTTCCGAACGTTCTTCGCACTCATACCTACTGTTTGCTTCTTTCAAGCGCCATTATGGACTGTTTGGTGCTGCCTTTACAAGAGAAATTGGAAGATTGGAAGAAGTCTTTGATCAATTTAGACAAAGAACATGCCAAAGGTTTAACGATTATCACAGTACTCTGGCGAGCTGCGTTTTCGAAAAGCGTCGCCCTCCTGTAATCCGATAATTCGCTGTTTTCAGAATTCAAAAAGGCAAGAGCGGAGCTGAAGAAACGTTCCACCGATACTTTACGTCTGCAAAAGAAGAAAGCACGAAAGGTTCAAGTTCACTTACATGTTCAAGGACAGTCTCAGAGCCACGGGGCCTGTTCCGACGTGGAGCTCACTAAAATGTTGGAGTCATCGGCGGCGGTCGTTCAGGAGAAAAGACTGAGTTTGGAAGAAACGGAGCGGAAAGCCGTCCGCGCGGCCCTTCTCGAGGACAGGGGCAGATTCTGTCTCCTCGCTCGATTCCTGAAACCCGTGCTCGTTAGTAGAAATTCTTAAGTACGCACATGTAGAGGAAAGTCACCTATTTGTAAGACGGGCTTCTAATGAGACGGCAGGTCTTCAACATCCAAATTCAATCGCGAGTCTTTTTTTCCGCAACGATTACGCGATCCAACAATGAATTTTCTGCTAAACAGATCTCACCCCAAGTGCAATAAATTCACGGTAGCACCAACAGACGATGCCTATTGATTTAGCAGAAACCCCCGCTATCCCGTATTAAGAGCCTATCTTATAATAGAACTTTCCTCTGTATGAATACGTTAACCGATGTACAAAGGCGACGTACATAAATGTATAATCGACCGTTTAGGACGAGGAGATAGCGATGTTAATGGAATTGACGCATCTGCAAGAGGTCTCCGATCAATTGCAAAGACACACCGCGTCGCCGCATCACTTACCACCTGCATCCGAGCAGGTAATAACGGACATAAAAGGTTGCGACGTTACTCAGTGGTCGTTGGCTACGCCGCCGTCGAGCCCGTCGTTGTCTCTCGGATCGAGGAAGAGTTCTATGTGTTCGATCAGTTCTCTAACTAGTAGCAGTAGTGGATCTTGTAAAAGCCATCCGAGCCCGTCGGGACACCCGTGGCACAGATCGCTTTCTCAGGTAATTACGCGCCGGCGGTATCTTTCGTTTCATTCTCTCCGTCCACCTCTAGGGTTTTCTTTTTGTCTCTACGGACTGAGCCATTAGATGGTTTCTTTTTTTCAATGTTGCATGACACAGTAACACCGTTAATGCATCAGCTGCAGTGCAACCTAGTAGTGATAAACATAGATTTCATAGCACGGATTATAATCGCTACACTTGCCCGTTGAGCTTATTGTATGTGGTAGTCGATGTTGTACTCGTTGTAGCCATTCGGTGCCAGGCCCGCCAGCATCAGCGGCATCGCGACGCTGCGCCACTTGACCGGCGGCAGCTCCCGCGACTCTGGCTTTACATCGCAGGACACATTGTACAATCAACCGATCTCCGAGCATCAGGTAAGGTCGTTCAGTGATCAGCGGATCTGCACGATGAATAGTCCTCATCGGGACGGACAGGGTCCGTGCAGCGCAAACCTGTCTCTCTTCAATGACGAATTCTTTAAAAGAGCACTTAGTTTGTCAAATAGTCTAGGATTAAATGTCGATTTTGGAAGTTCCAAGAAATGTGTACACGTTCGAAGTCCCGTGGCCGCAGTGCGGAAGATTCAAAGCGTGAGAGACCTTAGATATTTCCACCGCCTAGTGACCATGCTCCTAGATTTGCTTATGTTCCCAGTTTTGAACGAATTCAGTAGCGTAACTTTAAAGAATGAAACTACTTTTGTACGTTGTATCCCGTTTTTATTCCGCCCGACTAACTAAAGAGGCGGTTCGTGTTTTTAGGTATCGAATGTGTCTTCTCTAAGTAATCAAAGTACCGGTTGTACTGTAACACGACCTGTGACAACTTCTACTTGGCCTGATTTGCAGGAAACGTCCGTTCAGTACGACCGACAAAACCCAGGCGCGGTGAACGAACGGCCACATACTATTTCATCTGGTAAGTGATATTGTATGCTTGTCGTGTAATCCGATTTCCTAATTTCCGACTCAATTGTGTTTACCGTTCATCCGTTTTAGCGTACGAAAAGGGCCATCAGAGGCCGGCGCTCAGCGTGTACACATTCCAAGCTCCGGATCGCGACGGTAGCGGTTGCTGCCACAGTCAGCCTGCCTCTCCCGTTTCCTCTTCCTCCTCATGCTCTTCCTCGAATCAGCAGTTGTCCAGGGTGCAACTTCGTAGAAATAATAGCGGCAGTCGCCCACCTATACCGAACAGGTGTTCCAGCTTGGAACGGCCGACTATTCCGGTGAAGAACGAGCCGCCTGGGAGTCCTCGAGGGAAACCCAAGTTGCCGCTTCCGGCTCATTTGGCGAAAGGTTTGTACAACATCGCTACGTAAACTACGTTTCGAATACCAACCTTATACCGTTGTAACGATCTCGATGCAGAATTGGCGACTCATCAGCTCCAACAACCGATGTACGTGAACATGCACGAGCTGGCGAATCTAGCTGCCAGTCGTGCTCAGGAGATGCAGCTTCCACCGCCTCCCCCTCCAGCGTCGTTAACGACGCCAGGAACTGACAAGGTGCGTGAGCGAGTGCGACAAAGTAAATGTACAACACTTTAAGACGAATACTTTTATCGCTGCTTACGTTCCGTCGAATCGCGCAGGCTGAAGTCCCGGAGAAGGACACCGGCAGTCAGACATCCGAGTCCAGTTTAGAATCCAGCAGCGGATATGGAAGTCAAAATACTCTTCCGCATTCTCATTCGCTTCACAATCAAAACGAGAACACGTGGAATGTACCTGGCGCCGCGGCCACGTTAATGATACGCAGGGGATCGGCGCAGCAGACGAGCAGACCGCCGCCGCCGACGAGACGCACGTCCACCGTCATCACCGGACCTCCCACTTCGTCCGTGAATGAAGACCGGAGCGAAACCGCTTGCGATGAGACGGAGAACCTTCCTCCGCCGCCAGCGTTTCTTCTTGAAAGCTCCTCGCCCACAGTCAGCCCCACACCTCAGAGGTGAAAATCAACGTTGCTCTTCTTTTAGTTGCAACGAATCGCTCTATAATTGAAACTTGTATCGTCCTGACGGCTTTTCCCCACTTACATAAGAGTCCGCAGTTCTATGTAATTCTTTTACTCTCCCTCTTCCGTAGATCCATCTCGGTTTCCGAGACGGTGAGGACTCTGACCGAGCTCCGTCATACGCCAGCCAGTCCGTCACTATTGCGGAAGGCCACCGGACAGCAGCAGGCGCACGGTGGTCCTGCGGGCATCATCCAACACAATACCGTGCTGCAAATAACTCGCTCGTCGGTGGAACGTTCCTGCTCGGCTGCCCGTTCGGCGTCCCAAGAACGCGCGCAAACGTCCAACGTGGCCGGCAGTGCTACCGTCAGCCAAACTAGTCAGGCTGCGGGCCAAGGGCAGGGACCGGGTGGCGTGGGACAGGGCTTCATGGCGGTGCTCAACGCTAAACTCATCGGTACCATGAGCGGCAGTGCCGGAGCGGGCGTGAACACGAGCGGCAGTCCGAAATCTCTCAGGAAACAGTCGCTCTCGGAGCAACAGCAACAGCAGCAGCAGCAGCAACAACTACAACAACAACAGCAGTCTAACAAGAACGTCAAAGCGGCAGCTCCCGGCTTTCTCGAGACATTGAATGCTAAACTGGCACAGCAGCAACAGGCTCTACAGCAAACGGGCACGAGCAGATCCGCGAGTATCAGACGAATTATGGGCAATCGCGTGCCCATCATGGACCCCCTGCAAATGAGGGACTCCCTCATGGATCAGATCAGACGCGGTACATCGCTGAGGAAGACCAGCGGCCCGATCAACGATCGTTCGGCGCCCAAAATCTACTGAGTAGTCTAGCAGCGACCTTTGTCCGAGTCCGCAATAACGTCGCAATAACGAGCGCAACGTGCTGTTCTTACTCCGACGTAATTGACGAACGAGATACGATGAAAACCAGTCGGATAGCAACCAGTATCTTCCGATTCCTCATCTATATTTTTGAGCATCTATTTGCCAGAGTTACGCGCGTAAATGCATCGAGGCCGCCGTTCTACGTTTATTTAGCGTCTATGATTTAGCCCGCCCGCCGAAGTTCCCCCGATAACACGCAGGCTCCATATTAAATCGATATATGATTTATTGTACAATAACGAGACGCGTGCGTTAAGTAAGAATCGACCGGGAAATAACTTTGCGTAGGTTTAACGGCGTTATATATAGCGATTATATTGTAGCGTAATATTCGAAAAGAGTGCATGTAGAGAGATTTTTATAATGCGTATTAACATTTGTAAAAGAAACTGATTTCATTAGGGAATTGTCTCGTAAGATCCGTACCGATACAACGACAATACTCCAGTACAACTTGTGTCTTATAGTTCTATATTTTTTCTGCTTAACACAGCTTGGACACGAACGAGTTTCTTATTCATCTATTATTGCTACCGCTTAGTCTATAAACGAACATACGGATCCTTGCGATCCCACGGGAAAGTCATACATAATTTAATATCGAGCTTGTGTATCCGAGTCCGTAAGACTTATAAATGCATATCCGTGTAAGATGTTCAAGATCTCACACGTCTTTTACGAGTTTTTTTTCCATTTCTATATGAGAGAGGCGAAAGTCTGTTTTTACTGTGCTTTTTTTTTGGGTTTAGTTTTCGATCTTTAACTTCGAGATGGCCGTTTTTCCGGTAGTGTATTCTCGGCCGTCGAAGCGTTTTGAATCTCTCGGTTACGAATCGGTGATACATATACTAATAGGATATACTATACGACATCTCTCTCAATGTCGATAAATGTTAATAAGCGTATGTTTCGCGCCTTCGCGAAGGTAATGTAATTTTACAGCCGTCATCGCTTGCAAGCTACATTCGCTGCGTCTTTCGGCGAGTTCGACAGAAAAAAAAGTCCCTCTCGATTGGACGAACGTCCCGAAATCGAACACTGCACATTATCGAATTTTAGTCATGTTGTTAGAGAATGTTTTTTTTTACACACTGCGTCTTTATACGCAGTGTGTAAAAAAAATCGTCGTTTGCGTTACTCATCGCTCTTGCCAGTGCATGCTCGCCGCAAGTACACACTGCCCGCTCCTGTCTTGGACACCAGCAGTCAAAAGCACGTGTTTCGGTCAACTAGCGCAAGATAGACGGCGAATACTGATTATTACTGCCAATTACATTCATCCTTTCATTCCTTATGTAGTTAAGTTCTCAATAGTATTGTAGCGAAGCAGCGCGATGGATAGTGTATAGTGGGCAATAGAATATACGTTTATTTATTTCAAGCATTTAACTGTGTATACAGCGTGAATAAATAATAATACTTCCAGAGAATCTATCCATTTGATATTTAATAGCTCATCCTTTGGGAAGCACGAGGTCGAATGTGGTAATGAACGGGAAGACCCGATTGAAGTGTCGTTTCGCTGGTGGCAAATTCAATCTTGCCCACGTTAAATGTCAAATGGACAATATGATCACGGATTAAAATCGTATTAAATAAATAATCGTACATACATTATAACGAAACACTAATATAGCGAGAATTCGATTCGGACGATTGTTGATTTGTAAAAACTTACAGTACGATCAAACATGGGCAGCAAATAAAGATACGATACATTTGTTTGAGACTCGGAATGTTCTCGCACTTCTTGCTTGCTTTTGTTATTCTCGTACACGCGAAAGTGAATTCTGTCAGATTTTTGTCCGTTTAGAAAGGATTTATTTATTCTATAAAAGTGGTGCTTCTTGGCTCTCCGGGATTAAACTTGCGCAGTAAGTTTACCTGGAAAAATTAATTCTCAAATTTAAAAAAACTCGTATGTAAGTTAATTGTAAAAAAATTAACGTATTACTATACAGAGCGAGTCACTAGAAATTACCTTCTAAGATATCTTCGTAAAAGTTATGCAAAAATTGCAGGATAGTGCCTAAGGATATTTCAAAGTCATCCAGCTAAAATGGAACCCTGTATTGTGACAGCACATTCTTTTTGAGATGCTAGTCGAAAAGTTCTGCACCACTTTTCCCTCCGACAAACAATTATCGAGAGATAACGTGAGCTAAATATAAAAAATGATTAGCCTAAACAAATGTTAGACAAGTAAAAAATGTTTCAGATAAAAGCTGTTCAAATAATCAATAGGAAAAGATACTACAAAGATTGAGTTTTCAATGAAAAAATTGTCTTTTACATAATCTTGAGGCCTACACTCAAACGAATATTATTGCTGTTACGTTCCCCTTTATTTCCTACAACTTTTGTCTAAAATGTTTCGGCGTACAATCAATATTTCTGAGGATATCTAAGAAGGCAATTTCCAATAACTCACCGTGTATATATCCATTTTAAAGCATAGTGCACGTTCAAATTGACAATAGAAGATGTGACACTACAGACTAACATTTTATGGATGCATTAAATTACCCAATTATTATGTCATAAATCGCTGTGCTTTATTTACAGTTTATTTAACTCATTAGTTACTTGCTATTCACAATTATAAGAGTTGAGCGCATATAATGCAATATAACTTTCGCTGTAAAAATGACACTTTATTCTATTAGATATTGTGTCTTCTCATCGCACGCTGTTATAATATAGAGTTGGGTGATGTTGAGATATGTTGTATGAAGGAAGCTAGGGAGGAGATTTGCGATGAAAATTCAAAGTGTGTTCGATGTTGATTACAATACCCTGTGTTCTTCTTCAAATAACGTACAAGGCGTGCTAAAATTAACGAGTCAGATCCCCGATAGGAAAATGTTTGAAATATTGTGTAATAATTGCAACATCTAAAAGGGAGAAAATTTTACAATGATTGCATTAAGGTGATTCGCCAAAACGCAGCGGTTTTGTAGGAATAAAATTTCCAAATGGTATTTGCCCAAAAATTGATAATCTCAATTTAGGGGATAAATCATGCATAATTATTACGACATTTAGAAGCAAAATTGCCCAGCAACACAGTTACATGTTATAAACGTTTAAAAAAGATTTAGTGTGAAACGTATTTACCGCTGGGTCTGCTTTAATCTCGTCTCGCGTGAATTTTATTTACGAGTATGAGACGCTTCGCAAGGTCTCTATTTCTGTATATGTTATTCGAAATATGCACGCATAATTCCAGCCTTCCAAGTTTCGTCCAGATCTCGTCACAGAATTCTCTAAATATTTTCCTATCGGGGATCATAATGGAGAGTTTCTCGGCTCAAGTCGAGGTCGCCTCGTACACGGATCTTATTCTAATTTAAATGTGCGTGTATTTAATTTTTGTACGCCTGCAAGTGATCGAATTCTCGTACGAGTTTCGCTAATACGATACGTATTCCGTTAAATTCTATTCGTATTTAGTATATTTTCGGCGGAACGCGCCGAAGATCAGTCAGCCGTAGGAAGATTAAGAAATGCGCTATTATCTCGATTCGCACACGTTGTTCGAGCGTCCGTTATTTCACGTGGAACACCACCAATCGGTGGCAATCCGTATATAGAAACCTGTTCGTCTAAGACATATCGATTGTGCGAACTCTTAGCAAACTCGCCGTCCTCAAAGTGCATCAGCAGTGCCAGACTTCCAGCTGTAATATAATTCAAATTACACGATAATGATAGCGAATATACGTATGATAACGATACATGGTTGTTCTTGATTATTCTCACAAATGTACTTACGGTTATCTAGAGGCGGGCAAGAACAGTTGGGTCTTAAGACAAATACGACTGTCGAATGCAGACGTATGATGTCTTCGTGCGACGATTGTACATCTAACAGGAGCCTTGCTTTTCGTAATCGTCTAATTGCTGCTTTTACGACACTGCTGGCGGAGCAATAAAGATCATTGAAGTTTGACGGTAATTCGTCGGCGCATACAGGGCAGGAATCGTTCAAACCAAGAGGTGCTGAAATAAAAAACAAATAATCAGTTTGGTATTACTGTTCACAACGAAGAATTACTCTTACCAATTCAGATTGATCTTTCCAATTCATAAAAGAATGAATATATACATCAGTTGAAAAATTTATGTTAATCTTAACAGATATCACATGTCCCGAACGATTCACATAAATTTTTGTTTTAATTTAACATAAATGTTAAATGACGACATTAATACAATATTAATACTTTAACGCAATAAATGCAAACCTCAAGGTAATTTAAAATAAATTTTGTGTAAAGTTAATATATTTTCCAATGATGAAATTTTTTAAAATGCTATTTTCACATCTTACAGATGTGATAATTCAAACTTGTATATTGTATAGAATAAAGTCGACATTATTGTTTTCTGTAAACTGTAACAGATAAATCCTGTCACTAATAATACGGAATATATATATATATATGTATATATATATATATAATATGTGTTGTGTAAAATTAAAAATAGAGTACATATATTGTATTATTTTTCCAGTTGTTTTGATCATTTTACACTTCAGTTCAATTAATATAATACAACAGTAATATGTCAAATTATATGTATATTATGTATACATAAATGTGTTAAATACTTAACACAAAAATTTCAACAGACATAACTTTTGACAAGAAAACACAAATTTTCTAACTGCGTAATAGTGATTATGAAGTGAATTAAAGCAAGCGTGGACTACACTGTACATTAAGATTCAGTTTCTCCGAAGGGTGAGAATTAAAATGTCGTTTCAATTTTGTATAATAATTTTTACGTCCATTACTTTGAATTCACGTACGTAACGTTTGCGTGTTACTTAGATCCGCTTCTATTTTCTGATCAGTTTCATTGGTCGTTGACAGTGGATTGCTGTCGAAATGTGTGATATCGGGCTTTACAGAAACCGGCACGGGCCCCTCGACACCCTCGGGAGTTGCCAGCTCGTGTTCTACCACGACGAAGAGCGGGTTTCCGTCGAAATCCGTCGCGAAGGGATTCTGCTCTTGTCTGATGAGAGTTGAGAACGGCGCCTCCATGTCGTCGAGGTCTATGCTAGGAGGCCCGAGTCTATCGAACACGGGGTTTAGATTGATGTCCGGCTCGTCCGGTGTTTGACCGCTTCCAGCTTCTCTTTGTGGCACTGACAAATTCGAAAAAGTTAGTAAATTGCGAGGAAAGTATCGCGCAAAAAAAGAGACTTATTCCAAAAATAATGAGAACAATTTTAGCCAAGCGTTCGGCCTATCAAGCTGATATTTATATGCAATCAAACCTGATTTCATCGAGCACGTTTCTTCCGAAAACGCGCACTGGAAGCACTTTAAGGCGTTTCCATTTAATCCCATAAATATACATAGAGGAAAGTCCTCTATTATGGAATAGGATTCTGAGATAGTAGGTTTTCAACGTTCAAATTCAATCACAAATCTTTTTTCGCAACGATTGCACGAACTAACAATCAACTTTTCACTAAACAGATTTCGCTCCAAGAGTAAAAAATTCGTAGTGGAATCACCAGACGATGCCTATTAATCTAAGATTAGAATTTTCTGCCGGAGGGACATCCTTTAGATTGCCGGTTACCGACTTTCCGTTTGTCACTTTGTCACGGAGTTGCGCGACCAAATTAATTGGTTGCTTTAGCCGAGACACAGGATTTTACAATTGTGAGCCGCATTGCTCGTATTACCTATCTGCTCTACAGTTCCATTTCGATCATCCGGGCTTTTGGCCGCTTTTTCAACTGCCTCCTCTTTTTCCACGGTAGCCTTCTTCGCGGTGTCCTTGCCAATTTCCTGCACCTCTATCGGCACCGGATTAGGAACTTCCACTTCTTCACTTGGAGTGGCACTGCTGCAAGTAGCCGCGAAGCTGTAGCTCTGAAAAAACATATAGTCCATATAAATATACAGAGAAGAAAGTCTTCTATTATGAGATAGGTTTCGAATATGAGGTAGCAGGTTTTCAACATCCAAATTCAACCACAAATCTTTTTTCGCAACGATTACCCGATCTACCAATGAATTTTCCACCAAACAGATTTCGCTCCAAGCGCAAAAAATTCACGGTGGAATCAACAGATGATGCCTATATTAATCTAACAGAAACCCCGCTATCTCATAATAAGGAACTTTCCTTTATTTTATAATTAATTTACTGATTGTGAAATAATATATCTGTAAATTTTGTAAACTTACGCTTGATATCGTCAACTCCTGCTGATAGTAATCGTAAAGTTTTACATTCGCCGGTTCAAGTCTGTCCACGATATTTTCTCTAGTCACCGTGAATGATATGCAGGTTTTTTGGTTGATTAACTTGTCGAAGTAAATGGTGACGATACCGCGATCCTCTTCGAAACGTTTCACCTCTGCAAATATTCGTATATTAGACCAATCGGGGAATAAATTTTATCCTATTGTAGCGATAAACGACGTTACCAGCATACATACGTAATATAATTATGATTTTGTAATGTTTCTTTTTGTAAATTTGATCTCCATAAAATAATCATGAAAGTAATGACAATTGAAATTTATACAAAGTACTTTCGATTACATATTGATTTATAGACTCTCTTGATCAATTTGGAATTTGTTTTTGTGAAAAATTTCCTTGGGAAAATTTACTTGAAATAAAATTTAAGTTTTTAAAAGTAATCTTCCAAAACTAAAAGTTTACTTAAAAAAGTCGAAAGTTCATTTAAGAAATTTTAGAGTAATTTTGGACACTTGAAGTAATTTTTAGATAGCCAAGCCTGTCGAAGTTCCCGCTGGAGAGCCGCGCGGCATAGCACTTTCTCGTAAGAAGAAAATCGCACGCGGTATTGTAAATTATATCACACACTTTTCACAATTTTTAAAGTTTTCTTTCAAATTCTTATAAAATAAGTTTTAAGTTTACCTTAAATACAAGTTTAAAGTGTCCTTTACTTTTCGCATTTCTTATTTTTCTAAAGTAACATTTTAAGGTTTCCTGAGGTATATTTTCCCAAAGATTGCGACATTTAATTTATGACGTCACTATTTTATCCGAATTGATCTTAACGTATTCTCGGTTGGACACTCACTCGTGGCCGGATCCTCTAAGAGAGAATGAAGGCTCGTACGATCCGAGACATATCCACTTATCATGTCGATCTCCAGTAATGCCATATTACTTTCCCCATCTGCCATTTTATAACGTGTACAAATTGTTATTTTCTGCATTGAACATTCGTCCAACCACGTCGCAGGAGCGGCATTAACCGAAAGATCGAAGGCTTCGGAGCCGGTCGCGTGTGCGACGTTGTACTTTATATTGCTCTGAAAAATTACGCATTTTTCAATGATATGCAGTTTTTCCAAAACGACCTACACTGGCCAATGTTTTTATTTAAAAAACAAACGACGTTTCGGTCCCGGATTTGGACCCTTTTCAAGTAATCTTTTCGCATAATTGTTATTGATCTCATGTCGGTCGTTTGAGCTTGAACATTTTTGCTCAAAATGACCGATACTACTACCTCCCAGAATATTGATCTTTTCTCCTGGAACACCCTGTATATTTCTATGAAAATGCAAAGTTACCTGCACTAAGACGCAGCCTTCACCCTCGGCGAAGATCTCGACTATCGTGGGTATTACGGGCAAGCGGATCTGCGTGAGGACCATACGATTGTCGTTATGCATTCTGTACACCTGGTCCACTTCGCCGGCGGTCACGAGCACCGAGAGGTCCGTGGCGTTGCTCGACATCGCGGTGGCGTACTTGGTGAGCGCCTCCAAGCCGAGCACAGTGTCCTGCGTCGATGTGAAGCCGCCCTCCGCGTTGCGTTGCTTCGACATCCAGCGGACCGCTTTCAACGCCTCGACCATGTTCGTCTCACCGCCTAGTTTCACCAACGATAGTACGGCATACGCCGTCATCTCGATGCTCAGTCCTAGCGACGGCTTAAATTTGTCCTCCCACCAGAGAAGATCCTGGCGAACGAAAACTTGCTATAAAGATTACTCCGACTTCGTTGCCCCGCGGCACTGTTCTCGCCACCCAAGTAGAACAAGAAATAATGAACAAAATGACACCATAATGACTGTAAAAATTTGATCACAGAAAATTGATCAAAATTGTGATTTTGAAATTCAGAGGTGCCGTTTAATATGGTTCGCGACCATTTAAACTTGAGTTATTTCCGACATTCATAATTGTATGCTAGGACTTAAATATGATTATAATGGATACAAAATGTTCTTCTAAAAAAATCTTTAAAAAAATATAATAAGAATGTGTGATAATAGTGGAATGTTCAGTATTTTGTAAGATTTGTATTCTTGAGCTTTTGTGAATGGAAAATCAAGATATCAATGCTTCAAAAATTAAATATCTTCACAAAATTCTTAAAGTATAATAATAAGATTTTAATTATTTTGCATGCCCGAGCGATTTGCATTTTCTCGGCGAAAGTCATCGAAAAGCCAAAATATAGTCGTAAAAAAGTCAAATTACGTGTTAAACGATATTATCTTGAATTTTTAGAAATGATTACCATTCGATGTAATTTAGACTCTTAACTGACTTTTTGTTCTGCTTGGATAACGTTAAAATTAGAGTTAATTTTGTTATTCGTACGTTGTTCCGTGTTGCACGTTTCATAAGCAATTTCATGCTATTGTTCGCCTTCGGATGCTCCAATAACGTTAAGGCATAGGTGGACAAAGCTGCCGTGTATGTCGTACCGCTGTCGTTCTCCATTCCTTTCTCCAAGCAATGCAGAGCGTTGTTAATGAGCGATGCTGTTAACGGCACGCCCGATTCTAAGAGCGAGATCAATATATAAGCCGTTAATGCCGAGGAGGAATTGTCATCGTCCTGCAAACCGCCCTGCGAACACGTTCAAGAGTATTAAATATTACTTCTTGATGGAAGAACCGAATTATAATAATACCGCGTATAATACCTTCATATCCTTGTGGAATACCCTGCCGATCACTGGGAAACATCCATTTTCCAATTGCTTCTTCACCATCCACTTTACAGAAATTTTAAGATCTCGCTCGTCGATGTGAATTATACCCTTCGCTTGAGCGAAAGACTTGATTACAAATGCGGTGAGCCAAATCGAGCTACCGTCCTCCGAGCTCTCCGGGCCGAACGCGGAGTACGAACCGTCCGGGTGTCTGTATATTAATTCGCGCTGGTATCCTGCATCACACGATCAAATGTAAATTCTTAATCGCGAATCGAGTACGGATCCAGATCAAGCACGCACCTTTCTCCATATTTCTAATCGCTTTTGCTCTCAGCTCTGGATTGTCGACTCCAGTCGCGTCCAAATAGCCGATCACGTGGATGTTGGGAACGAAGAGGATCATATTTTGTTCACCGCATCCCATAGGCAAGCGAACAAGATTGTCCAGATTCTCAAGGACCGGACCTAGAATGTCTCCTATCAGGGATACGTACGCTCTCGCGCTTTCGGGTATCAAGTCGTCGGGTAGATCGAGATTCCAAGTTATGGTGGAATCGTCGCTGAAGTCCTTCGGACAGATGAACGCGGACTTCGTTATTTCTACGGGAAAACCTTCTGGTAGCACCAGTATCGGCTTGACAATCATATCCCTAAAAAAGTGTATAAACTGCTAAATATCTGTTTACAATTTCTATAATCCTTTTTAATATTTTATCAAGAATTATGCCTGACAAAATTAAGTTTTTCTCATTTTAATGAAATATCGAAGATCTTTATTTCCCCAATGTACGTGTACTCGGTCAGAAAGATTTTCTAATAACAAGACAAAAATGTTCTTGGCATATTTAAACTTATCACAACCTCAGGTAACAGAAACGTAAAACGATATTAAAAAGTCCAGACGAATTCATTTCTAATCAAGTAATCATTTCTAGAAATTCAAAATATTTTACGACTATATTTTGATTTTTCGATGATTGTCGCTAAAAAAATGCAAATACGAAAATGCATACGAAACTTTCTTCATAATAGCATCATTTTTATTAAGAAAAACGTTTTATATCCATTACTATTCATTACTGTCATATTTAAATCTCAACATACAATTATAATCATCGGAAATATATAATTGATAGGTTCAAAATATCGCAAACCATGTCAAACAATTTCAAATGCATAATTTGATCAACTTTCTGTCGTGATCAAAATATAACTTTTGAGAGCCATTATGATGCCATTCTGATGTAATTTTGACTTTATCGCGACTTTTGTTCTGTTTGATTTATGGTTTGAAATTATACTTCTGTCAAACTCATATTAAAAAAAAAACCTAAAAATCGGGAATATTAATATACTTATGCTTCTAGCGACTCACGTTTGTTTATAGCATTCCTAAATATTAGTGATTGTAAACAGGAATGTTCAATGTGCTTCATTTACCGTGTATACAGGAGCATTTCCGGGCCGCATGGTTCCGCGTAATCCGAATCGATCGAAGCGGAGACCGTGATGTTAACATCGCCAAGAACTCGCGGTCTGAGAATATATTCGTGCACCACGCTGTCCCGCGGTTTTACGCAGAACGAAGCTTCTGAGTGCGACAAATGCAAGTCAAGACCCGTCGCGTCTTCCAACTTGATCTTGACCTACGGACGCCAAACCATCATTAAATTAGTTATAATATATTAACCAATTATTGCAAATGTAATTAATACCCTATTAATGCTAGATAGAAGGATCGTAAGGAAATGTTTGCCTGAAATAAAATAAACATGTAAGACAAAAATATTGTGCAATATTTATGAAATGACCCTCTGTAATACTGAATTACATAAAAATGTTATCTGAGGTATTTGAAGAATGGAAGAACGAGAATGAAACGTATGTCGTATGCTCGCGACTCTCGTAAACTTACCGGTAAACTGTGTTGCATGTAATTGAACAAGGAAACCTTCATACGCAACATTTCCCCGCGTTTCACGCTGTATGGTAGGCTGTAATCGAGGAAAAACGGCTGGAATCCCGTGATGGTTGTCGGTGGTGCTATTCCGAGACCGTGTGTAGGTGAGACACACGCGGTGTATCCGATCCAATCGGTGATGGTGTGAGGCAGAGTACGTTCCACCGTCACTTTGCCTTCTTTTCTGCAAAAACGAAGGGAACTTACATAAGAAAACGATAAATATGAATGAAATAAACGAAAAGCCGAGGACGCTTTCTGTATTGTAACTGTAGTAAAAAAAGTGTAAGAATAACTTGCTAATGTACCTAAGCAGAAGAAAAGATCATAATGAAGTTACAATTGCGTCATAATCAAAAGTCACATATTGATCAGAACAGTAAATTGATGAAATTATAATTTTGAAATTTTGAGATGTTGTGCGACTTAGTTGGTGACAATTTAAACTTAGATTATTTCTATTAGTTACTTATATGTAATTGTATGTTAGGACTTAACAATGTATAGTAATGGGTACAAAATGTTCTTTCTAATAAAAATGATACTATTATTACATGAAAGTGCAGTATTCAATATATGTTTTGTAAAATTTGTATCCTTGGGCTTTCACTTCGTGTCTTACGAATAGAAAATCGGGATATCAATACTGCCAAAATCAAGTATTTCCACAAATTCGTAAAGTATAATATCTTCGAGATTTTAATAATGTCACATGAACGAGCGATTTGCGTTTTCTCAGCGAAAGTTATCGAAGGGTCAAAATATAGTCGTAAGAAAATTGAATTATGTTTTACTAATTGTAAATTATATTATCATGGCTTTCTAGAAACAGGTTACTTTTTTTAATGTCATCTTTTAAACGACTTTTTGTTCTGCTTAGGTATCCTCTACATATCTAAAAAATAAGATAAAATTGAAAAACTGATTCGTTGGACAGATAATTATCCCAGAGTTCATTGAATGATGACAATTGACAAAATGTCCTATGAATTTTAATGTATACCCTGTTGGCACCAATTCCCACAGCCACGTCTCGGGGAAGTAAGATCTAAGAGCAGGCTGATCCGGCACTTGATCCACATATCCCTGTTCGGGACCCACGTTTAATAATGGATACGCCATGGGCAGTGTCTTCGCCATTTTAAACATTCCTACCGGAATAATACGTCAGTATGAAAAGTACAGCTTAATAGAGGAGAAAGATTATCTATGGACGAGCCATTTTAATCTCTGAAAACGCACCAGCATCCGTTTCCAATTCAGCGGACGCTGAGAGGAAAGGAATATGGGCCCTGTTCTTCATCCTACTTCTGCCTCTACCCCTGCGAATCTGATGACAAGGCCGCGTCTCGAGTATCAGATCGCTCATCACGACGGCTCCGAAGTCCTGAAATACAGGGGAAGATCCAATGGACATATAATTACCTTCCTTACGACTTTAGAATTTATTTACATTTCCAGAAAGTTCTCACATCGAACGCTTGTATGGCGTCCACGTAATTCACGAGCCCGCCGTTGTACACCGTTCTTCTTCTCCTTTTACGTATCCACGCGGGTGACTCCTCGAAAGCGGGAAGTGGCAGATGATCGAATTCCGTATTAATCGTTTCTTCATCCGTCGCAACTGTGAAGGATTCCCCGATAGGAAAATATTTACGCAATTACAAGTCTGGCATGAAATTTCTAACGTGCAATTGTGTCAGTATAAGTATTAAACAAAAAATAGCTGCAGAAATATTTGATCGTTTATAAAACATTAACAATTGTTTGCACGATTAATTTCGAAATAATATTCCGGCAATACAGTGACGATATGATGAATCGTTTAGCGGTGTATTGTACTGTTATATTCGATTATCTGTACCGCGACATATTTTGCATACCTTTGCAATGAGTCCACGTCCAAATGGGACGCGGTTCGGGCTCGATGTGGAATCTCTTCAGCTGCGCGAAGGTCTGATCGGCGTCGATCAGGTTCGTTTTCGCACCTGCTAAGTAACGAGTCGACTTGTCAACCGCCGAGATACCGCAGAGAGACCAAGGGGCAGCTTCCACGTGATACTGAGTGGCCGTTCCCGGGGTCTGAGCGTCGGTGTGCCAGGCGGTTTTCACCTTATTCTCGAAACAGTGTCCCACTTTGATGGAGTACGTCGTGGCGACGATCTCGCCGTCCGAGCGGACGTAGTACAGCAACAATTCGGAGATTGGTGCCATAGACGGGGTAATCTTGACGCTGAGAGGGAATCTTGAGGAACGAGAAGTCGACGTAAGAAACCTTGAAGTCTACCTGATCCCTAATTTTTTTTTTCTAAATAAACAAGGTAATTCGGCGCTTCCAAACATTTTCGAAAATAGATTTGCGGGATATTCGTTAAATGAAATATTATTCACAAGTATTACCTGTGGGCCACGGTACCCTGGTCCGTCTTATTTCCTGGCGACTCGACGGCGCCTAATAAGTTCCGGAATTCCGAGTAATTCAAGACTGTATCTCTAGTCGGCCGGTGTTTCACGTGGCCGTATATTAATAAGTCCCCTTTAGAATTGATCGAGTAATGGAAGGAAATGGACTCGTTGGTTTTACTCTTCGCCGGCACCGTGTACATGACGTTGAACGAGTACTTTTCACCGCAGACGATCGGTTGATAACCCCGGGCTACCGCCAAATAGCTGTCCGACGGCGAGTACCAGGGATTCACTTCGATGTGCGCCGACGGTTGATCCATGAAGACCTAATTACAATTTATAATAAATGTTTACACAGAATGTTTCAAATTACTCCACATTGTGTCTCAATTGTTCCTTTCAGAATAAATCGTTTTCAGATTAATACATAAATTAGATTCAAAACAGTTTAATAAAAGGAACAAGATATTCTGTATGAAAGAGAAATTCACAGGAAAAGAAAATATAAAAAAAGAAGATAAAGTGTGTACGCTGAGGAAACCAAACAAAGAATGAAGATATTTTACTGCATGTTTCTGGAGTGATGAAGAATACAAAGGTGACGAGGTAATAGAAGAATAGAGGAATAGAAAAGTAAAAAATATGAAAGAGTGAGGGGCGAGGGAGAAAGAAGGGAGGAAGAAATAATATTACGATAAATAGAGACAACAGGAAATATTAAACTTGTTAAGTATAGTTAAGTTAGTTACGTGTATATAAGATAAAGATGTGTGTTGAATCTGAATACAAATTGATTGATCGAATGAGATATCTGTATATATGTTCGGAAGAGAACTCTTCTTTCAAAGTATATAAATATATCGGCTGCTCGACGTACTCGCCAACGCGTATCCGGCGAATAGTACTTCGTGGGATAGTCGACACCGGTTGCGACGAAGCTCAGCAGGACGATGTTCCTGTGCGGCGGTGGTACGACGAAGTCGACGAAACCATCGGACGAGGACGTGAAGTTGCGACATTCAACCACCACGCGAAGCCACTCGTCCTTACCGCGTACTCGCACGCAGAGCTGAATCTTCTCATGCGGCGCCGGGGTGTCGTCGTGCCGCGAGACGCGCAACTGCGAAAGAGATTTATTTCGCGTTCTATAAAGAGCGCACCTTTCTTAAAATAAGTTAACGACCAAATCTCACGAGTTACTGCAAAACGTTAGTTCATCTCTAAATCAATTTTATTCGTAAAAACAAATAACGTGGAATGTTTCTATCTAATTTCGTCATCCTCAACAAACTCAGGACAATTAGTTTAAATTTTACATGGGGAATGGGTATTTTCAATTTTTAAAAAATATAAAGGCGGTGACAAGAAGTCTAGCAATTAGCGATATGTTGACCAAATTAAAAATTAAAACTCTACAAATTGAGTCAATGTTGTAAAATGTAAATCATCCCAGCAAACACCAAAGTAACAGTTACATGATATCAATAGAAATGTAATATAACACATGTCTGTTACATTACATTTGCATTGATGTTATGTAATTGTTACTTTGGTGTTTGCTGGGATTATTCGATACTTGATGACGTGAGTGTAATAATCCATTATTTGAGATGCCCAGCAAAGACCAAGCTTTGGATCCACAAAGAAAAATTTATAATTCTCGCTTGAGGGAAGAAGTTAAAATGATTATTGACCACTTGCGACTTTTACCTTTCCATGATACGGCAAACCAAGCTTAAAATATTTCGGCGTATACGGCAGGAATTCTAGTTTTAGGGCCTGATGCACGACCACAGTCCGACTAATCGTGGTCTCTACTATGCCGGTACCGGTTTCGGTGAAGTTCGCTATGAGGACGATATTGTTCGGTGCCACTTTCCATTGAGCGAGCCCGAGTACCGCGCCCGACAGCACGAATTCGGTGCAACCATCTGGCGAATCCAGCTACAATAATCGACTAGTTTTAAATTCGCGAGATACACCAAATCTACATATCGCACTGTGTTTATGAAAATTTTCACATTCAAGTTTGATTTTTATAAACCAGATACGATTGGAGCCACTTACGTAGTATTTCTATATTTAAATAAACATTAATTAGTCAACTGACTGAAGGAGCTACTGACCTCCGTTTCATAATGTATTTCCGGGAGATTGGGCTTCCGTCTCCATGTTGGTATTTGAGGTGTTGACTTTAAGAGTAATTTACCTTTGACTGGTTTGCCGTAGCTGTATCTGTAATAAAGTGTAAGATAGTTTTGCACAAATACGTTTCGACTCGCTGACTGCCAAGACGAGTATTTACTTAGCACATATGTTCCACGTGACGTTCTCCGCATCCGCGAGAATGTATCCCGGTGAAGTTATGGTCACTTGAAATCTCGGAAGAACGTATTTCTTCACTTCGAACATAGTTGTGTGAACCAGCTGCGGTTGCGATCGCCTCTTCTCCACCTTAATTTTCCAGGCACCCTGTGACAAAGCATTATTAACATTATCGTCGTGCTCTTCGTTACATTCCTGGGGAATGTATTGAAAATATAATAAAATTTTGCTGAAATGTATTTAAAAATCCCTCACATATACACACACACAGTTTATCCCGTTTTATAATCATTTCATCAATAAAAATTTAGTGAAAAGTTATTTCAAAAATTTTTCATTAAAAAGCAGTACAGTTAAATTCAGCAAATTCTATAATATCGAATATTTCATAATTTTTAAATAGTTGTTCAATAATATAGCTTTAATTTCTTTTATATTTCACAGTATTACATTGAATTTTGTAAGGAAAATTATTTACTTTGCGATGCAATCAGTAATTTTGAAGATAATTTTTATTTCACTTTTTATCGATTTCATAATATCTTCAGCAAATTATTTCTACGAGGGATGCTCTCATTTAGAATCACGATCGTGTTACCGGAGTCGGTTCAGGAGATAGAGCGAATTTTAGTTGCGCCATTCCATTTTCGGTACTGACGTTGGCCCACTGTGCCACTCGCACTTCGGATGGATTCTCGATCCATACTTTTGGTATCTAGAAAGAGAAAGAAGCAAGCTCGGTATTGTTAAATGAGAATCTTCTCTTATTATTATTAAAGATTAGAATTTAAAAAATTAAAAAACTTATTAGAATTAAAAGAGAAATCTTCTCTTCTTCCTTATTAATTTTCGAATTCTACACGAATAAATTGTCTTTCCTTAGCTCTCGGGAAAATATATCTTTAAAAACCTTAAAATTTTACTTTAAAAAAATAACAAATATGAAAAGTAAATTTGGACACTTTAAGCTTTTACTTAAGGTAAATTTAAAACTTACTTTAAGAATTAAAAAAACTTTAAGAATTGTGAAAAGTATGTGATATAATTTATAATATCGCGTGCGGTTTTCTTCTTACGAGAAAGTGCTATGCCGCGCGGCCCTCCAGCGGGAACTTCGACAGGTTTGACTATCTAAAAATTACTTCAAGTGTCCAAAATGACTCTAAAATTTCTTAAGTGAACTTTCAACTTCTTTAAGTAAACTTTTAGATTTGAAGATTACTTTTAAAACCTTCAATTTCATTTATCGTTCGATCAAAGTAAAATTTTCCAAGGGAGGGCATATGTATATACATATAATTACTGAATTAATATATTATTATTGAAACGATCAGTTATTATTATTTTATATTAATGGATAGAGAGCGACGAACCGTTTTCTTCCATGGCTTCAGGTCGTGCTTGAGCATGAGGATTCTAATGTTCACATCTTGCCCGGGTTTGTAGACCGGCTTATCTGTCTCGACAAACGTGATTAAGGAATCGTGCTCGATATAAACTTCCTTCTCCGTTTCCACGACGTAGTCGGGATACTTGTCGAACTTTATCTTCAATCGCAATCGTCCGTTGAAGTATTTCGTGAACGGTACCGCCAGTTCCAGGCATGTTTCTATTCCTAAGCGGACGTTTTAAATGAGCGAACGTCGCTTAACGAAGTCAATATCTTAATTTACCTCTTCTTTTTTCCAAGGGCAAATAGAAGTAAGTTCGATAGAAGGAAGAAGAGTATAATACATTTAAGAGTATAATACATGACAGTCGTGAACGAATCGCTACTCGCACAAGGATAATACAACTGTGCAAGTTGATTCGCTTAATCGTCACGGTTGAATTATATGCCACGCATGCAAACTATTCGAGCTAAATTGTGGCAGCTTAGGGAAGATATTTTTAACGTAGGAAAAAATTTACTGTCAGCGTTTGATACAGAGATACTTGAATAAACATATGTGGACAGGCAGAGACGTGCTATTTTGCTGGCACAGCTATGCAACAATTTTGAGAGAGAAAGAGAGAGAGAGGGGTTTTTTTATTTATTGCATCTAGATTTAGCATAATTTTCTTCTCGCGTGAAATAAACAAGAAATCATATCGACTGTTATTGAATAAACTTAGATATTTGTTGACCTTTCAGAAGAAAATAGTCTATCATATGACTTTGTAACAGTTAGAAGTGAAGACGGATGTTCTGGCTCTCGTTCCTTTAACACGCTTGACCATACTCGAAGATATACTCATCAATTATAGTAATTAATATTATTTATCGTTTGCTCCTAATTATTTATATATATATTTTATATATTTTAACTTGGTAAAGTTTTTATCGTAGAACAAAGTAAACATTGACTACTGACTTTTACATTTATGACTACATGGTCTTTGTTGAACATCGCAAACCAAACAATGGATTACCGCCATCAGTTTTGTAACATTGACTCTTCTGTAGATCTTTCAATTTAATTTCATGCTGGTTTATTGTTCGACCACTTGTCGCTGTTTCTTCGAATATATGGACAATATAAACTCCAGCGTTGTTGGAATATTAAGAAATTTTTGTTACTTGTAAATTTAATTTAATTGGTTAATGCTTCCTTTAGTTTCTTTTAAGTATCTGTAGGATGGCCAGGTTAGATCGAAATGTACAATTTTTTGCATTGACTGATGAATAAAGTGGAAATTTTAGGGAGTGATATTTTTTAATAACTCATGAGCTATTCACATAATTTCTTTCGTCAAGATTACTAGCGGTAATATTTCTTTCTAGCGATTCATCGATAAATCTCCTCGCGCGTCCGCCGGCGTCAATCGTATGTACGTACGATAAACTCGGACCTTGATCGAGCCTCGTACTTGTTGTTCACCCCGTGCATAACAATGCAGATAGGTTTCCCATGTGATCCCGAGCGATTACTTATTTCCCCTTCGGAGAGAGACTCGGCTCATTTAGCTCCCCCGCAGGAAGCGGCGACAATTTCAATTTATGATTTGTTTAAAGCGTCCGATTGCTCTTCGAGCTGCGAGGGAAGAAGGAGGAAAGACCGGGACGCGATTCATGGGCGTAGCCAGGATTTTCGAGTGCAAAAGTAAATTCTCCATTAAGCTCTGCCGCCCGGATGTAGATCTATCGATTTCCATCGTTTTCCGGAACGATCGGCGATTCGCACGTTCGAGAAACGTATCCGCGCTTCCGCTTGTCATCGCGTCGCTACGTCCCTGAATTGAACGTAGGAATCCGTACGGTATTTTCGACGATTATGCGTTATCGCGTCGCACGCGTGATAACACGTCGGGTCGCTCGAATATCCAATTGTCCCTAGGCATGAATTTGTGATCGCGAAACTCTATTACCTGAGAAGTAAAAGATACGGGCGAGCACGTCGTGCGCGCGGAAGAACTTGACAAAATTTAAAAATAACACTATCTTCCCGACTTCCAATTTAAGGCGATCTGTCAAGCTTTCGTCAAAGGAAAACGTGAAAATCGTTTCCAATTTTTCTGGAAAACAGTTTTACTGAATTGCTTGAAGCTCATACAGTCGGTGTCTGATTAATAGAGGACCAAAATGTTTTTCTCGATTTTGAAAAAAATTACAGTTTTATTTATTACGCAAAATCTGTATTTTGTTTTTCAAAATCAAGAAAACCACTTTGTTCCTGTATTAATCGGACGTCGACTGTAAAAATTTCAAGTCATTCTGTAAAACTGTTTTCGAAAAAAATTGAAAGCGGTTTTCATGATTTCTTTATCGGCGGAAACGTGTGACACGTGGCCTTTGAAAACTTCAGTATTTGAGATACTCAAATTTTTTTATGTCTGCTGTGTTTAAAAAAATGTATACGCAAAAAGAAATATTATTAGACACTAAGACTCAGCATGAATGTACGAATCGTTTCTATTATTTGTGTTATTTATACATAACAGTCAAATTCACTTATATACAGTTTATACACGCCGCCTGCAAATTTCTCCATATTCGTATTGAGATATTACCGCATGCTTCAGGAATTGAACTGATATCCGTTTCGAATAATAGAAATATCTAGGAATCCTGACTGAATCCTAATATTTCGCAGTAAATTCTTTATAATTATTTTCTAATAATTGATTATCAATTCCCGGTAAAAAATTGTTCATGCGTGAGCATGCATAAATGTATAATATTATATAAAATTATACACGAAATATGTCCATACATATTTTCACATTGTATATTTCTATATAATTCTATGCAATTCTACACGGTTCTATATAATTTTATAAATTTATACATACTTTTATAAGAAAAATTTTCAAAATTGCTCATTTATAATTGTATATAATTTTGTACAATTGTACTCAATTATATATAATTATAAGTAAGCGATTTTTCACATTTAAACATTTTTCATATCATGTATAAATCTGTAAAATTATACAGAAATGTATAGTATTGCATAAAATTATATAGAAATATACAATGCAAAAATATGTATGGACATACTTGTGTATATTTTTATATAGCTTTATATATTTATCCATAATTATGCACAAAAAATGGTTTACCGGGTTTAAGAGGATCCCTCAGCCATCTTTTTTTATCGACACAATCAAATATAGTTTTCGCTTTTGTAATACTTTTATGCACAAAATAATGCCAGGCTAAGTTGTGGACCGCATAGCAGAACATTTTCATACTTAAAACACTCAATAATCCAGCTTTTTAGTCGACGTTATTCGGCTAGTGTTTTTAATACAGAAAATTTATTGCGAAAAATATTACCTTGGCCAGGGTATTTTTCGTAATAAATTTTCTGTACTAAAAACACTAGCCGGATAATGTCGACTAAAAAACTTGATTATTGTTATCTATTACTGGCAACTTAGAGAGATTTCTATGTTTAAAACGCTCAATTCAGAAGTCTAATAAAAAAGATATTGGTATTTGGATGTTGTGCTATGCGGTCTGCAACTTATCATGATATCATTTTGTGCATAAAAGTATTACAAGAGCGAAAACTATATTTGACTGTGTCGGTAAAAAAGATGGCTGAGGGACCCTCTTAATTAAATATAGTTGTGGACAAAATATGGTTACAATACTTTTCTTAAAATAAGTTTCAAGGATTTAACGCGCATTTAGATTTAGAATGAGAACTACTATCTTTACTCATGTACACTAGATAGCTGTGATACCGTCAAACCCTAAGCAGAAGTCACGATAGAGTCAAAATGACATCAATGGCTATTAAAAGTCATATTTTAAGCGTGACAGAAAATTTATCAAATTATGGTTTTGAAATTTAGAGATGCTGTTTGATACGGTTCACGATAATTTGAACTTAAATTATTTCCGATATTCATAATTGTATGTTAGAATTTAAATATGATACTAGTGGATGATAATGGAAAGGTTCTTTTTAAAAAAATGACAGTATTACGATACGATTTGTAGAATAATTGTATAATAATGTAATATTCAATATTTTGTAAGATTTGTATTCTTAGGCTTTTATTTGTATCTTGTGAATGGAAAATCTGGATATTAATACTTTAAAAATCAAATATTTTCATAAATTCGTAAAATATAATATCTGCGAGAGTTAAATCATTTCGCATACGAACGTTCTCTTGGCAAAAGTATCGAAGAGTCAAAATGTAGTCATAAAAAGTTAAATTATGTTTCATTCAAAGTGTTAATTAATTCCTTGTTGGCGTCATCTCAAGTTTTAAATAACATTTGGTTCTGCTTGGGATTTCCACGTATACAATGCGTAACGTAGTGTAGCAGCAGTTCAAAAATAATAATGTACCACAAGGTAGTTCTGAATCTAAATACGCATTTTTAAACCTATTAATAAAAAAAGTGTTGCGGTCATCCTTTGTCCGCGGTAATTTCGACAACAGTTTCAAACTGAAGGTGCTCCGAGACCGAAAGTTTTCGGCACGCAGTTTGCTGCGTTGAAAAAAGACGTTTACGTAAAAAAATAATAAAACACCAAGATTCAACATGGCCGTGCAAGCTTCTGTTATTTACGTTTGTTTTATGTCTTTTAAGTCTCTAAACGTTATTTCTCGCCACTTGTCTAGGGACGATACCACGAGTTTTTGAGCAAGACAGGACTGTCTGAGCATGCATGGTATCGTCAATTGATTGATAAGAATCGGAGGAAGAAAAAGATATATGCGCTTGCCTGTTTTGACGACGCCGCTCGTCCTGGTCAGCACTTCGTCATCCGCGCTCGTACCCGTCGGAGATAGCAACTCCAGGATAACATGCGCCGGCGGCTCGAGATTGTGCAGCGACAAGCAGCCGCTCTCGGTTTCCCCGGCCAAGAATCTCCTCGGCGCCGTGAAAACATATCCTCTAGAAGAACAAGCCGATTAAACCGCGCGAACGCGAGAGGCAATGAGGACTAGATTTTCGGGGGATTAAGTTAAGTTTCGCTGGGAGAATTTCTTTCGCGATCAATCGGAGCGTCACGATATCGCCTCGTAGGTCAGCGAGGAACGTGACGTTTGCTGCGCGAGTGAAAATTGTTCGGAAAGAACACAAGTTTCTCCGTTTCATTGTGGACGTACGCATTTAAGCGACAAAGCGGTTTCACCGACGTTGTTTAACTTCAAGCCTAGTTTAATTCGTTCTTTGTCCCTTTCCAACTGTTACTTCAGAAAGAGACAAAGGTGAATTGGACTGAGATTAAAGTTAAGCGACGTTTGGTGAAACTGGGCCTTAGGAGTTTTCCCAAGGTGCGAGTTTCTTCATGATAATTTAGGGCTACCGGACATTAAATGCGTTGACGCTAGAATTTCGCAACGCGTTATGCCTACTGTTCTGTAAGACTTGAACAGCATCTTGTACTCTCGGGGTTTATCGTGAGGAAAAATCAATGCGGCTATTATTAAATTAATGCGTAACGTGCATCCGCGGCTACTGTAACCCGGGATCTGCGAGTGAGTCCGATATCCGTAATCGATAGTCGAGAGTGAGAACGAGGGTGGACCGTCCCAGTGCTTATTTTCGTGAAACGCGGGGACGCCGCGGGGTGTCTTTACCGATTGGCGGTCGCGCCGCCCTCGCAGAGCCGCAGGCACGGGTGGAACAGGCAGAGAAGTGCACAGGACACGATTAGTCTGGACATTATATCGTCTCGGGGCTTTCACACCGTTTTGACGCGCGTACTCTCGGCAAGAGTCTCAGATTGTCACAGGCATATTAACGAGAGGCGCACGCTTCGGGGCGCTTCCTCCTCCTCGCGAGAGATACGCGTTTGAAAAGAGCGGCGGGGGAGCGACAGCCGACAGAGAGGCTGCGGACCGACTGAAGGCGCGATGTTCGTGCCGGCTACTTTTATCATTAACCCCTCGGTGCCCGTGCAAGGAGGAGAGGGTTACGCCGGGCGCGGATTAAATCGCCAGCCACTTTGCGTCGACCGGCCACCGACCGTGCAACGCGACGCTTCGGCGTCCTTTCTCTATGTCACCGGCTTCGTCGGAATTGGCCTCCTGGCAATCGCTCGTTCACTGATCCACGAGCTTCCTCCTTTATCTCCCGCGAACCCCCCTCTGTCTCTCTCTCTCTCTCTTTCTCTCTGAGAGCTGCCGAGAGTTTTGCTCCCCCGTGCTTTCCTTCGCCGGACCGTCGAAAATCTGCCCTCAACGTCTCGTCTCGTCTTTTGCGGAAGACGCGAGGAAAATCTAATGGAAAAAGTCGTTCTAGGAAACGAATGCGTTCTGAAGGAATCGCGATATTTACGCTGGTGATCCGATGGTGTCTCGAATACTTTTGGTTACCTCAACGACTTCTTCCAACTCCCAACTGGACAATCAATTGTGATTAACCGCCTCGTTTACTTACGTTCGTAATATTGTAAGGATAGAGAACGCCTCGTTGAAAAGATACTCGCGAATATATTCAAAG